TCAAATCATAGAAGACTTCGAAAAGAAGTCCAAGTTGCGGCTCTCTAACTAAGTAGATGACGAGTTTTGACTCTTCAGACTGTCGTTAGCTACCGAAATAAGAAATGCAAGGCTAAAGTAACAGCTGCAAATTCAATCACAATTGCAATTCTATTTATATAATCAAACAAAGCTAAAACACTTGGCGTTAATTACAACGTGGTCTCGCCAATAGACCAAATGATTTCATAATAACTTCTGAGCAAATGGTCCAGATAGCCCATTGCATAGCATATTGCTTATATCTGCAACTGTAACTCCATTTTTCCAAATTTATTGTAATTGTTTACTACTTATATTTGAAACTCTATCCGAAATTCTGTTACTCTGGCCCCAAAAACGGAATTTGATCTTCACGTGGTACGGAGAAACCATTCTTCCCAGAGTGGCCATACTCCATGGACTGGCTGACTTCACTCCCTTGAGCGTCGTTATAGCTGGATTTCACTGTATTATAATGACAGTATTACTACTATTATTAAGGTCTCCACTGTGCCTTCAATTTAAAGAGTGATATTCCCAGCCGTATATCATTTAGATTGCACTGGGGCTTAGATAAGTCCCCACACAATTACAGCCAGCAATTCGGCTGGCGCACGTCACAGACGCGATAATATAAGAAAAGCAACCCATAGTAGCAGCAAAGCAAATGTTTGCTCGGGTATAAAAGAGTCGCGCACTGGCAGGGCAACAGATAGTCGGTCTGCCTTAAGTAAATATAATTCAATTGTATTAAAAAGCAGCTTTCATCTCGTATAAAAGTCTGCGAGCCCGCTCAAGATGCAACACTAGCTACGACATCCCACATACACCAAGACACTATGGCAGCGGCACCTGAGTGGCTGACGCACGATTACATCAGGCATGCGTTGAGGGTGCACTACGATGACGCCGAGCTGAAGATTGTGCAGCTTGACGTAAATCCGGCTCTGGGCCCGGGCGAGAACTACGGCGGTGTGCTCACCAGGGTGCGGGTGCGCTTCACACTCTCCCAGGAACCAGCAGATGAGTTGCTTCAGAACCTGATAGTGAAAACCTCCATTGATGACGACGAGCTGTCTAAGGAGCTGATGGCTCCGTATGATATCTACAATCGGGAAATGAACATATACGAGCAGGTGTTACCGAAATTGAATGAGCTGCTCAAGGAGATCGATGAGTTCGAGCCGTTGTTTCCCACGGCCATCTTCGTGGATCGCGAGCGCATGGCCATCATATTCGAGGATCTCAGCGTAGACAACTATGTGATGGCCGATCGGATCAAGCGCCTGGACAAGGAGCACGCCCACCTGATTCTGCGCAAGCTGGCCAAGATGCATGCCACTTCGGCTGCATTGAATGAGCGAAGCCGTGGCAGCTTGGAGAAATATGATCGGGGGTTTTTTAATCGCTATACCAATGCCTACAGTGGATACTTTGTGGGCGGCCTGCTGGCCGCAGCGCGATGGATGAGCCAGGAGCCTGAGATTGCGCACTATGGGCAGAAATTGTTCGAGCTAGCCCCGCACTACATGGACATAGGCCGCAATTGCTTTGCCCCGCTAAACGACTCTGTGAACGTCCTGGCCCATGGAGATGTCTGGACCAACAATGTGATGGTCAAATACGATGCGGACACGGGTCGTCCAGTGGACATTCTCCTTATTGACTTTCAATACTCCTTTTGGGGATCGCCCACCATAGACTTGCACCATTTCTTCAATACATCGCTGAGGGAGCCCCTGCGGCGAGAGGAGCAGAGCTCCCTTATTGAGTTCTATCATCGCATCTTCAGAGATGTTCTCAGAAAACTCAACTACAAAGCGAATCCCATTCCCAGTTTGCATCAGTTTCAGCTGCAAGCCGAGCAAAAACGATTTTTCGGTAAACGTCCAGAGATTATCTCGACGTAACTTAAGATTAATTCATTGTTTTCCTATAGCTTTGCACTCGGCTGTTGTGGTGCAGCCCGTCATGATCAGCGAGGACCCAACGGACGCCTGTTTCAATGCTCTCATGAACGACGATGAGCGTGCGACTCGGTTTAAGAATCGGCTATATAACAACCCCATAGTTCAGCAGAATCTCAAGGCGCTGATGCCAGTTTTTGATAAAAAGGGGCTCCTGGAGATTAATCAGTGCTGTTAAACGACAAATACAAAAAGACTTCAGACTAATAATGCCTTCAAGACTCATATTTA